GGTCAGCTCTAGGGCTGGAGTGCTGTACAAGAGCTTAGGAAAGAGTGTGCAGACAACACCGTGTGCCATTGAACCTCTCTTGGTCCAGCCTGATGGAGCCTAAAAAAATGTTACATGGTGCTGAAGGGACTTTAAGAAAGAGCGATGCAAGAGATTCCCCTCCTCCAAATGCAGAGAGGGGGAAATAAGCCAAGGCAGGATGCTTCCGAAAGGGTGGGGGATGCAGGAGCAGGGGAATGCGGAGCTGCTCCACGACTTGGCCAAGGGCCCACTGTTTCCAGTAAGCGGGGACACAGATGTACAGGGTTACATTAAAGGTCAAGAGGAACAGGGCTGAAGGGTAAACAAGGAACTGCAAGGCCAACTGAAGTTGAAGCAAACAGCAAAGGGCAAGCTCAGAACGCAAGCTGAAGGAACAATGGCTACTTGAGAAAGATGTGTCCTGGTTGGAAATGTGAAATACTCGGAGCAGAGAGACTAATTGTTACCTCTGGCAAAGATCTGGGCGTGAGGATTCAGTGGCTCCCTTTGGAGACATAGAAGGAGTTGCAAATATTTACTCCACAGCAGAGAAGGTCTGTTCGTTGTTGCTGCGGCATCTTGTAAGATCTCTGTCCCTCTTGCAGTCTGCCCCGTTCCAAGCCTTTCTTTCCAGTTGCCAGCTCATCTGCTCAAAGTTCTTCACGGTATGTGATCCAGTTAAGACCCACTTCTTGACTCTTTTCCTGCACAAATATGACTCAAAATGTGCTTCCTCTTCCACCTCAGAGTCTTCCATAACCCTATAATGCAGAGAGGGGGGAAAAAAATAAGACAGACCAAATAAATTGAACCACCTGAATATCTGCTATTATCCAAAGAGTTTCTGCATTCAGTTTTGGTCTGTGCCATGGTTTGGCTCAAAGGTAAGAGCTACCGAGATGGCCAGGGGCTTAAAGCACGTGATCAGTAAGGAAAAGTCAAAACAGTTGGGTTTGTTTCTCCTGAAGAAGGAGAAGCAAAGGATTATGAAATAGCAGCATAGGAACACTTGAGATGTTCACTTGTCAGCAGTGAAGATGACAGAGCCTAAAGCTCCTTGACAGGGGCAGGATAGAAAACAAGGCACTCAGACAGGTCTGTCACCCTTTATTGTTCCTGATGCCTCCAAACATTGATCTTGGACATCTTCTAGAGTCAAGGCCAATCACGGCATCACGGATGTCCAAAAACTCATCCACAATCTAGCTCCATGAAATCAACTTAGTCCATGGCATGGAAAGCCTCTTTATCAGGCTGAACGAGAACTGGTGACTGCGAGTTTTGCCGTGTACGGCTCAGAAATTCTGCTTTTCCCCAGGAGCACACCAGTGAGAAACAGTTCTCTAAGGGAAGACTTAGTCCCGAAAATAAATAAGAGGCAGTCTAACCAAGTTTTTCTGAAAACGAACGTTATTTCAATCGCCAGTATTAAATACCGGACATGTAGGTTGGCCGGCGTTATTTATCCAAGCTGATGTTAAGCAGTCTCCTTGCAAGCTGTATCTCTCCAGAGGCCATGTTTCTCTTCTGCTCTCTACTTCAGCTTACTTGCACATGCTATGTCCCTGTCCTGGGAAAATATGTCATATTGCACTCTTTGATCCTGAAGTTCTCATTATTGCAAATGGTTTGCAGCAACTTCATGAACGTGGCCCCATCTAGTTCCTAATAAATCCTTCCCCACCATCACTGTATGGAGACTATCTCACTGTTGCCCAGTTCAGGCAGGAATTAATCAACAGAGTCGCTGAGGTGGGAAGGCACCTCTTCTTCCTCATCCAGTCCAACCCCCTGCTGAAGGAGGCTCATCTAGAGCAGTTTGTCAAGGACAACATCAAGTCAGGTTTTGGATAACTCCAAGGATGGAGACTCGACAACATCTGTGGGCAGCCTATTCCTGTGCTTGACCATCCTCACAGTAAAAAAAAGTGGTTTATTTTTTTCTGTACGCTCCGTGTTCCTAGACAGCATTTAAGAGCCAGAGGAACAGGCAGACACAGAGATCATTCCTGCCTCCTCCAAGAAGTCTTCCTAGGGCACTGCCTCTTCATGAGCTAGTCCTGCCAGGAGAACGGCAGTTTTAGAAGGGCCAGAAACAGTTTGCTTTTAGCAAAAACAACAGAGGAGAAAAGATTCGGTCCTTCGTAGTGAGGGCGAGTTTCCCTTAGTATGTTGATGAGCAGAAGAGCATGGGAGGAGGGAGGTGGCATAGGGAAGGGCAAGGGACAGGAAGGAGGGGCCCAATGTTGGCAGGTGAATGGGGAGAGGCCAATTAAGGGGAGGAGTCAGGGCAAGGAATATTTTTCATCTACCTCCAGTCTTGGTCCTTACTGTATTCCCTCCTGCCTAGGCAGCCAGTCAGTGACTCTTTCTGTCTCCTACAAGGACGATCTTCCTGCTCTACTCTGCCAATCAGGCCTCCAGGAGTTGGATTGCATAAGGTCTCTGCTGCTACTATGGGACCACCAGGAAATCTTCTGCCACCCATAGATGCCCGCAGTGGGAGTCTGCCTGTCTTTGCTGGAACCAGGATGAACACTGTTCTCTTCCTCTTGGCATGGGTTTCGGGTAAGTTTTCTCCTTTACTTCTGGAGAACAGGGTTCTAGATACCGTCTGATAAATGGGGCTCATGATAGATTGACCCCCTCTTGTATTGCCAGTCTTGGCAAGGAGATGGGTTTCATAGAATCATAGAACCATAGAATGGTTTGGGTTGGAAGGGATCTCAAAGATCATCCAGTTCCAAACCCCCTGACATGGGCAGGGACCCCCTCCACTACACCAGGTTGCTCAAAGCCTTTTGTGGCCGGAATAAAGGACTGAAGATGCAGGAAGCTCGAGTTTTAACTCCTGGCACTGGAAAAGGGCTCTACATTTCTGAGACAAGAGAAGGCAGCAGTAGAGATTATAATTTGGCTTCTGAAGGTCACCTAGAGATCTGGAGGCATTAACAAAGCAAACATATGGAGACAAACCATGGGAACAAATGCAAACATAAAGATGGAGCTTCCTTTGATTGAGCTGAGTAATCCAGAACGTAGTTCTGTTTTTCTCCTCCACCCTAGAGTCACAGCCTGTGTTGGAGCCAGGACCCAAGGGTGAATAAGCACAGCAGCCCTCTATCACCTTCCTGTCAGTCAGTGCTTAATGCAGCGGCATTTGTGTCCTGCAAATCAGCATACTCCAATAACTCAACCCAAAAAGTATTGGAAGAATTGGATAAGGATTGTCCTGAGACAGCGATGTTGGTTTTTAACAAAACCTGGTACAAGTTGAGGCTGTTCCAGCCGCTTGAATGACGTGAAGGCTGTGCCAGATGTGCAGAAGATGAGGGAGGATGATCTGGGAATTTAAAGTTTGTTAGAGAAGTATCTGCGCTTTCCAACAGCGCAGAAGAGTGGACCTGGCCAGGCATAGGTGGCTGCCCTCACTCTAGAGCCTCTGATACGAGTGCATAAAGCCCACGAGGAACAGCAGCCAGGACCAAAGATGTTAAGCACAGTTTAAACATCAGACAGAGCCTTTCTGAATAAGGAGAGATCCTTGGCATCCTCTGCCAGGCTTAGATCCCAAGAGTAGCCGGGATTTTCCTTATTCCCATGAAGAGAAAGAGGCCCTTCTCTACCTCAAGTCCTCCTCCCTTACTACGGGATGAACGTTCATTGGAAATACCTTCTGTTCCCCCTTGTACGGAAGCCCCGTTTAGCACAGACAATGTCTTGACTGTGAACATCCGGCAGGTGAGTCCGTCCCTACACACCGTAGGCTCTTACCTGGGTGTAGGTGCTGAGAGCCATTTGAGTTGCCCTAGTTTCTCCATCCTGGACCCCAACTACTGAAAGGAGGTTGCAGCGAGGTCGGCGTCAGTCTCTTTTCCCAAGTAACAAGTGGTAGGACAAGAGGAAATGGCCTCAAGTTACGCCAGGGGAGGTTTAGACTGGATATTAGGAAAAATTTCTTCACTGAAGAGGTTGTCAAGCATTGGAACAGGCTTCCCAGGGAAGTGATTGAGTCACCATCCTTGGAGGAGTTGAAAAGACCTGTAGATGCGGTGTTTAGGGACATGGTTTAGTGGTGGACTTGACAGTGTTAGATTTACGGTTGGACTCAATGATCTTAAAGATTTTTTCCCACCTAAATGGTTCTATGATTCTATTCTATGATTCCATGATTCTTCTGCTTTGGAGGGTGCAGGTCTACAAATGGCACCAGAAACCTACATTTGGGCGAACAAACTGTGCTCCGCATGGCACCAGGTGAGCGAGCTCTGGATACAAAGTTCTGACAAGCGTGTTAGACAAAGACATGGAAATCCTAATTTGTACCCAGAGAAGCGACCTGCAAGCTTCCTTTGATAACTTGCACAACACGGGCAGAGTGCCAGACCTCAGGAGGAATATTCATGGTCTTGTGCATGGAGCAGGGAGCTGCACAATGAGGGTGGGGAGGGATGATGTGAGATCCATGATGCCCAAGTTGTGTGGAGGCCCTTTGGGACCATAATCTCAGGTTTTGCTCTTGTCTTCTTGACTGCGTGTGGTACAGTGGAGGGTTTCCGTGGTGTGGAGCTGTCACACACCATGTCGGAGGGTGTGTTGGGACTGTTCCATGGCTGGAAACGATTTGTTCTCATCCAAGGTTTTGAATATCTGGCATGTGTCTGTGAGAGACATATTAGTAGGAATCCCATGATCTGGACTGTCCTAGGTGATTAAGAAGAGCTTGAAACTGCTCACAGAGATGCAGAGATGTGTTAGAGATCCTAACACCATCTGTGCAAGAAATTTACACCACTAATTAGCCAGCAAGCTTTCCTTAAAATGTTCCTGATGGAAAAAAGTGGCAAACATTTCAGCAATCCTTCCCCAGACAGACCCAAGATGACGCTATTCCTGCAAGAGCAAGACGTTACGTTCTCCGCTCTCAGCCAAAACCTGGCTCATGCCCATTTTCCGCCTTGGCTTCTTTTGGGATTCAGGTGTTGCCAACTCAGCTCCCATCAGACTTGTGAACGGCTCCAGCCGCTGCGCGGGGCGGCTGGAGGTGCTTTGGAAGCAGAAGTGGGGAACGGTGTGTGACGATGGCTGGGATCTCTCCGCCGCCGCAGTCGTATGCCGGCAGTTGGACTGTGGGGAAGCGCTGTCGGCCCCAGGCTCAGCTCACTTCGGGCAAGGAACTGGTGCTATCTGGCTGGATGACGTGACGTGCACCGGTACAGAAGCTGACCTTTCTGCCTGCAGGACCAGACCCTGGGGAGAGAATAACTGCAATCATGGAGAAGACGCAGGCGTTGTGTGTGCAGGTAATTTACACCTCTTCCACGTGACCTTCGACCTTAGGGAGGTTTTTAAGCCTGTTTGCGAAATTTTATTTCTCCTTCCGTGCTGTCCTTCAGGGTCACGATGGGGATGGCTGCTTCAGGCACTGACCTGTACCGTGCCAAGGACAAAATTATCCAGCTCGATTCTACCAGCTAGAGTGTGGGAGGTGGTGGTGGTGGTTGTGCTCGTTCTCCTACTGAGGCACAACAGAAATCGTGGTTATTAAGGACGTCGGTAGCGCACTGGTGTTTGTAGTTGGTACAAGGACCTTTCGGCTTCCCGTGTTTCACCAGTGCGCTATCAACAGTCTTCTCGTAACAAATCTCATACTAAGTCCAAAACACAGAGCTCTTCTGGCTGCTGAAAAGAAAAAACCAGCTCTGTCCCAGTGAAAACCAGGACGGTACGGGCTGAGGTGAGCAGGCGGTTGTGCGGCGTTTAGTTGCCGCTGGTTTAAACGGCAGCGACCATCCATCTCACATGGAGACACCGGCAGGTCTGTGAGGCATGTGGGTCTCTTGATTCGTAGTGAGTCCCCACCGCTGGAGCGAGATCACAGTGGGAATTGCACAGTCCTGTTTCATAAGGGATTCCCAGTCTACGCCATTTATCTAATGATGAGCTCTGAAACCAGGGATGAAGATATTGATCTTCATCACCCTTCACCTTTTTAAGACCTGGGCAGTGCTAGTGGAGATCTTTCCTTGCCTTTGATCTCTAGGTGATCTTTCCATGTGTTATCCCTGATCCTGGTTTTCGTTTTGATTTGTTTTTTTTTTTCTTCTTTTTTTCTTGTAGAAATTAAAAAACCAGTTAAGCTCCGATTAGTGAATGGTTCAAGCCGCTGCGCTGGGAGACTGGAGGTGCTTTATAGCCAACACTGGGGAACTGTCTGTGATGACAGCTGGGATATAAATGATGCTCAAGTCGTGTGCCAGCAGCTATGGGACTGCTCTATCTGCTCCCTCCTCAGCTTACTTTGGGGGAGGGCCTGGCCCCATTTGGCTTGACGACGTGACCTGCAAAGGAACTGAGGCTGCCCTCTCCGAATGCAGCGCGAAACCTTGGGGGAGCCATAACTGCAATCACGGAGAAGATGCTGGTGTTGTGTGTTCAGGTAAATCCCTCTCTGCATGGCACGAGTGGGTTTTGTGGGGTGCAGGGAGATGCTGGAGGTGCTGGAGGAGGACCTGTTCCCTTTGGAGTAGCGCGTACCCCGACACCTGAGAGAACTGTGAGATGAAAAGTGATTCATACTGTTAAGCTCTGAAGTAGTGCTGCCTCTTCTCCTTAATTAAAACCCACCGCCACATGGGCCGCTGGTGAAAGACGGTGATGCTGCGGGAGTTATTTGCAGGGGTCCCCATGCACATGGCCAGTGGATGCCTTGGTAGAGCATCCTCTCTCGCTGCAGAGAGCAGTGTCTTTGGCAGCCCCACCGACTCAGGGACCACCTGCCCTAAACACACCCCAGACCCAAAAGAAAGGGGCGGAGGAGAGAACTGAGCGTGGGAAGGAATTTCCATGTAAAGCGAGAGAAAACGCACCGATTGTTTCAGAGAATAACAATGTCTGTGTGAACACGTCATGAACAAGCGTGCTCTTAGCATGTAACTCAGGCTCTGTCCAGGGGCTGGGGGTGCAGCTGGGAGGAGACGTCCCCTGTCCACCTGGCACCACAATAAAGCAATGCCGCTTTCCAAAACTCCAAAATGAGTCTTGGAAAGTTCTGAAATGGCACAGACTTTTCGGGAATCACTGCAGACCACTGTTCCAAGGGACTGAGATTGCTGCACGGGTCTGATGTGAAAAAATGGGCAGTGTCGGTCTGTGCTGGCTGATGCCAACGGGGACTGGGCAGCACAGGGCTCTGCCCGGTCAGCACAGACCAATACACGACAGAGGACTGACAGCTCCATTATTTCTCATCACAGGATTGGCTGAGCTGTTTCCAGTCCGGCTGGTGAACGGCTGGAACGGCTGCTCTGGGAGAGTCGAGGTGCTCCACGAGCAGCAGTGGGGAAGCGTCTGCGACGACAGCTGGGATCTGACAGATGCTCAAGTGGTGTGCAGACAGCTGGGCTGTGGGACCGCGGTCTCAGCTCCCGGCTCTGCTCGCTTTGGACAAGGAAGCGGCCAAATTTGGCTCGATGATGTGAATTGCACAGGGACTGAGACCGTCCTGGCGCAGTGCGAGGCCAAGGCTTGGGGAGACCACAACTGCAACCACGGCGAGGATGCTGCTGTGGTGTGCTCAGGTACCACTAATGCAAGTCTCGAAATGTGGGGTGGAAGGGTCGACCTGGGTTTGTAGGAATGGTGCCAGCGGGCCTGGAGCTCTGGTGGGGATGAGGGTGCTGCCAATGTTGTTGTCCAGTCCTGATGGCCAAGCTTGTAGATGCTCCCGGGTGGGGCCTCAGCACTCTCAAATGCACTGTTTCCACTCTTCCCCCCTGCCCATTTCGGTGCTCTGCTGTTGGGGAAGTAACCCGAGCGCTTGCCCATGAGCCCCTGCAGGTGACCGATTTCTTGCCAAAGCTCCAGTCAAGGCCATTGGTTCCAGCTGTGAGGCCACAGACACCTGGTGACACC